CCCTTCCAAGTGCTGGGATTACAGGTGGGTACCACTGTGCCCATGCAGGTGGATTTTTTTAAGTTAGGAGAGTTTCTTTTTTTGTACCAGGAATTGAATTCAGGACCTTGAGCTTGCTAGACAGGTGTTGGGCTACTAAGTTATATCCCCAGGCCAGGAGTTTTTATTGGAAATAAAAACAGGAATAGCTTTTGGATTTCCAGGAGGAATCCCGAGTGGGTGGCCACAAGGCCCCTCAATGCAGAACCAATTACAGATAAGCAAAGCACCAGAATTGCTCAACTGTTTAGTGGCCACCCATCAGAAGTGGTTCTGTGGATTTAAAACGACTCCTTGGAGAGCCAACTTCTAGAAAGATGGTGGAGCAAAAAACAGCAACAAATCTGCCTCTGTGAGATTCAGAATGCAGACACTGGTAAATAACAACTTGGGGAAGGAAAGGAGAGAGGTGGATCCCTGAGATCCAGGAAAGATCTAAATGGAAAATTGGAGACTACGGAGACATTAAAGGGACAGGCCACGGTGCAGAAGAAAGCAGGGGAAATCTGTATTTTTCCCCCCAACTCCTGACTAGAAGTGTGAGAAAGATTGAATCTAAAGAGGCACAGTGAATATCAGCAACTGGCTGGCAGAGGCTTCCAGGGAGAAATGCACCAGTGGAATGGAACAGTATATGCTGCAGGATACAACAGCAGGTGAGTGACTTTAAGTAATGCCATGTCCCCTGGAAAGTGTACTTAGTTAACTGCCATAGGGAGAGACCAACTGAACAGAGCAGCTGCATGTTGGCTTCATCTCAGGGCTCCCAGTGTTAAACTATCATAGTGACTGGATGAAGGACCATCCCAGGAGATGTTCATGGACAGAGAGCCATGGACAGACTAGCAAGAGACATCCAGAGTATTATAAACTAAATGACTCAGGTCCCAATCTCATAACCAGAGGTCAATTTCAGCCTAAACTTTTGTGGATTTGAAAATCCCAAAACTAACATCACACCCTGATCCTACTGCCAATTTGCTAGGATTATACAGCATAGATCTAGGCTCAGATAGTTGCCTTTTGTCTACCATCAAGAGCAGAGTCATGCCCTGAATTGGACACTGCCACAAAACTATAGATCCAAGAAGGTAACCACAGACTTGAAATCACAGAGAAACTCCTTTTTTCATTTGTGCTTGTTTGGTCCCCTCCTCCACTTTTTTTGTTGTTGTTTCTTTTTGAGGGTCAACATTGTTTGTAGTTTTTTCCTTTTGTTTTTGTTTTCTCATTCTTTCCTTCCCTCTTGTATTTTTCACCAGTTTCCTGAAGCTTGGGTAATTTCCCTCTGTCCTTCAGCAGGGCTTCTAATTTTTCTTTTTTTGTACGGGGGATGGAACTCATGACTTCACACTTGCCAGGCAGGCACTCACGCTGCTGAGCTATATCCCCATCCCTAATCTCTACTTCTTTTATTCCTCTATTTTCCTCTCTTCTCCCTTTTAATTTTCTCCCTCTAGGACAAAATTGCCCTATTGAATGGATTATTGACTGTATATAAATTTCAGGTTTGTCTTAGATTTTGTTATATGCTATAAAACTTGTACATATATTTAAAAATGGAAAATTATTAGTTATCACAGTTTGTCATTTTCTAGTCTGTGTTTGATGCTATTGTATTACAGATCATATTACTTTAGCCAAGGTGACGTAGTTGCTGTGATCAGTTGATCTTTCTGGTATGTCAATACCTAAATTGTCTGGGAAACACAACAGAACAGGGTAGTACCAAAGATCTGGGTGCTAGGCCAAACAGGCTGCAACCTCTCATCTCTAATAAACAGAAGAGGCAGAATCCTGGGACAGACTCAAAGGCCAAGAGCCAGCTACAACTAGAAGACATCTCTGAAAAGTAATCATTTCCTACAGAAGTTTAAATACTGGTAATAAAACTACCTACCATTAGTAATCTACAACCATCAATAGAGAAAACAAATAAACAGCAACAACAACCAAATAGAAAATAAGAAAACACAGAAGCAAGTTGCAGCCCCAGACCTCCAGCTCACCCAAGGCAAATCGGGGAGCACTGAGGAAGAAGAAATCAAAAGCCACCCAGCCAAATTTTCAAAAATGGTAGCAACAGAAGTAGCACAGCAGATGAATGAGTCCCTAGGAAAAAACACTACACAAATAACTAAAGAGATGATGATCATAATGAAACACACTGTTAATGAATCTAGAGTAGATGCAGATGAAATATAGAGGAGCTTAGAAAAGTGATAGGAACCACGAACACTTAACATAGGAAAGAAATGGATCTATTGAAAGTATATGCAGCAGAATCAATCAATGTGAAGATGGAATATCAGATATAGAAGACAAGGGTGCAGTTATTGATTATCAAATGGAAGACTTCTTAAAAAACCACAAAGGGGGCTGGGGATTTGGCTCAGTGGTGTAAGCGCCTGCCTAGCAGGGCGAGATCGTGAGTTCAATTCCTGGTACTGCAGAAAAGGAAAAAAAAACACACAAAGGACCATGAAAAATTAATCCAACAGCTGCTAGAAGTTGCAAAGAAGAACATAAGATTAATTTAAATCTATGAAAAATCAGAACCTGTTCACAAGCCAGGCGTGGTAACACATGTCTATAATCCCAGCACTCAGGAGGATGAGGCAGAAGGATCACCATGAGTTCAAGACTACCCTAGGCTACCCACTGAGTTTAAGACTAGCCTGGACTACAGGCTGTCTCAAAACAAACAAACAAACAAAAAGAAATAATGACAACCCTGTTCACAGAAATAATAGCAGAAAACTTTCCCAGTGTGGAAAAAGAATTTGACATACAGATAAGTGAGGAATATAATAGTCAAGACTGCAGAAACTCAACATAAGAACGGAACACTAAAAGTTGTTAGAAAAAAGAAACAAACCACCTATAAAAGGAAACTCATCAGAATCACAGCAGACTTCTCAATACAAATCTTTTACTTAAGCAGAGTTTGGAGTGAAATATTTCAAGCCCTAAAAGAAAAAAATCCTCCAACCCAGATTGACTTACCCTGGAAAATTATCTTTCAAAATAGGTGAAGAAATAAGATACTTCCATGACTTAAAAAAAATCTGAAGAAATTCGTGATCACCAAACCAGTACTCCAAAAAGTTCTAAAAAATAGTCTAGAAAAAAGATAACAAAGACAATAATCCCAAGAATCCAAATAGAATTAGTCCATCAGGGAAAGCAAGCAAAAATAAAAGGAAAAGAAAGGAAACTGACAACAGGAAAATAGTACGTTGATGAGGACAAGTCAAAACTTATCAGTTACAATCATCAATGTAAAGGTCTCAAATTACCAATAAAAAGAAACAGATTGGAAGAATGGATCAAGAAAAAAGATCCAACAATATGCTGAATGTGAGAAACACATTTAAATAAAAAAGAAACACCTGGACTAAAAGTCAAAGAACAGAAAACAATACTTCATGAAACAGCAACCTGGAAAAAAGCAGGGGTAGCTATTCTATTGAATTTCAAACCAAGACTGATTAGAAGAATCAAAGAAATGGCAAGAACTGGTTTTTAAAGACAAAAAACTAAGGGAGAGGCAGGCTGAAGACAAGTCCAAGTCCATCAGGTTCATACAGTTTTCTAGCGATGAGTAGTGAAGGGAGGATTTACACTTAAGGAATGATGCAGAGAAAGGGTTTTTGAGATGTTTGCAGCACATTAATAATCCATCCCTTGCTGTATTTGCTTTTTTTCTACATGTTTATTATAGCCATTCTCAATTATACTATCATTTATTTGGCAATATGCACTAAGCATTATGACAAAATGCTTAAAGAGACATTTTTCTTATTTCACCTTCAAAAACAAAAAGGCAAAACAAACAAAAAAATTTTTTTTGACGTTGCTATGGTCAGGTCAGTTTTAGGGCCAGGAAACTGAAGTTCACTAGTTAAGGGATCTGGCCAAAACTTGAAGTCAGGCCTCTGTCAATCTATTCAACAAACACTGGGCAAGAGCCTCCTCTGTTCAAGGCCTGCTGAACTAGCAACATGCAAAGTAAAAGCGCTTCCCACCTTCTGGGCTCACCAGGCCAGCCAACTCCACCTTCATCGAGTAAGAAGCTGTGAAGCTGTGATCACAGTGACACCCACAGCACTCAGTCCTGCCTCACATAGTCTGGGAGCAAGGGATCCTCTCAGGGCTAGGGCTCAAGGATGACTGGACAGGCCTGCCTTCGACAACTGCTGGTCTCCTGTGGTGCCAGACACCACAGTACTCTGGCTTAGCCCTGGCACACCCCTTATCCTAACCCTTCCTTCCTAAGCAGACCCTGACTATTCACCTTTCCCCTGGAAATCTCGGCCCCTACTCCCTCTACCCCAATCCTAAACTCTTCCAGTCAACCAGAAGACACCTCACCCTAACTACTGGCTTTGGGAAGGTTTTTCTGCCCTTGTCATCCAGGACCTGGCTCTGCTTAGGCCAAAACAAGGCAAAGGCTACCCTGCGTTGGCGGGCTGGGGAGGGAGCGCAAACCTGGGGGCAGGGCTTAAAGACACAGCGAAGAATGAGAAGGAAAAATGGTCATTGAAAGCGAACCGTGGTTGTAACTACTTTAAACTCATGTAGCCACCATGATTCTTATCAGGCCTGGGCATCACGGGATCTATCCTACACGCAGAACCACAGCCTCTCGCTCCCGCCTCTCCTGCTGAAAACGCGCACAGAGGCGGCACACTGCGCAAGCGAGAACCGACACCTGGCGACCGGGCTGGGCCGTGGAGGCGACGCACTGCGCACGCCTAGTGAGGTGCAGCGCCCGCCTGATTTATGCGACATGTATGAAATTGCCCGGGCCAAGGATGTCAAACCTTGTTAACTGCAACACAAATACAAACCCACTTACTTATGGAAAAGTGCCAACATTGCAATTAAACCTAGTTGCTCAGGTTTAATTGGCTCACGTGCCGTGAGAGAGCTCCGCTTGTTCACTACAGCATACGTACGTAGTACGGATTCTCCACCACTGGTCTAGACACGTAATCCGGAGGAGTGAGGTGGCAGGTGGCACATGCGCTATCTGCCGCGCCCTCTGCCAGACCTGGGTGATACACGCGGGAGGTACCGCGCAGGTGCAGGATCCCGAGCGTTTCCGCGGGATTGGCCCATTGCACACGCGCGATCGTGGCGCCCTCCGCTAGATAAAGGCGCTGTGCACAGAGCAGGACGCAGGCGCAGATTTCAGAGGGCTGGGGCGGCGAAGGACGCCGCCGGTGGCCAGTCACCTGCAGGGCGGGCCCATCGCGCACGCGCGAGCCGGCGCTCCCTCTGCAGGAGTCTGGGCTGTGGGGTGCATCGGTCCGCGGTCGTAGGTCTTTGGAGCCCCCTCCCCGCAGGACGGACTTGCACTTGTCACTGCTGCTGCTGCATCTGTGAAGCTGGAGCGGAACTACGAGGAGGCCGAGGGAGGGGACCCTGTGAGAGGGCCAAGCGCCAGCCCCAGTCGCCCCGGCGCTGAGGCTCGGTGAGTACCTCTGGGACTCGCCGTTCGCCTTGGGGACTTCGCTTCCGCGCCCCACCCTAGATGGCCGACCGCTGCCCAACCTGGTGGACCAAGAACCATGCCCCTGACCTACCCTCATGGCGCCGCAGCTCTGGGTGTGTCTCCGATGTGCAGTGCCAGGGCCTCCCATGAGTGCCTCTATGCGACCCCGAGTGGTTGGACAAATAGCCAGTCCAGCTCTCCTGCCCCCACTGCAGAGGGCCAGGCTTGCCGTTAGCTCCCGGCGGCTTTGCCGAGTTTGGGTCTGGCTCCGCACTGTCCCACCGACTTCATTCCATTACCTTGAGCCTCAGAGCTGGTTTATTGGGGGTCAGAGGGTTCTTGGTCAGAGATGTGGGCTGGCGACGCCCCTGCCTAGGGGGCAGGGTGGGGAAACACTGTGTACGCGCCTGGCCTGCTGACAGAGCGCCATAGCACAGGTGCTGGGGCCGTGTGCCTGCTTGTGCAGGGCTGCTTTCCGCACCTAGTCCTAGGCAGGTGCTCCTGGCTGTGCTGCAGGCGTGAATGCCCTGTTGCTTTCCTGTGCGTGGCACTGCTAGGGCTGGCCTCTGAGGGTAGTATTTCTGCCTGACCCTTCCCTCCTGTTCTAGGACTTTCGTAAAGCATAGATGCATCTTGTGAATGTTTGTATTCTTGGCATATAACAAGCCCTCAGGAAATCCTCCTGGAATATATGGCCGAGACCCTGTATCAGTGTGGAGACCTAGTAGCAGTGTGGAGATCCAGGCAGGAGTAAAAGGGTTAGTTCCACTTTCCTTAGCAACCCTGCCATTTCATTCAGAAAGTTTTAGTGCTGTCGTTGGTAAATTTAAAAAGACTAAGATCATATTTAAAAGCTTCATGAGAAATGCAAGAAAAAAGGGATAAATCAGCAAAAATGGAAGCCGTGGGAATCTCTCTCATCCATGTTTTTTTGTTTTATTTTGTTTTGTTTTGTTTTTTTCCTTTTTCTTTTACAACTTCTTGGTGGGGTGGTACTAGGAATCAAATTCAGGACCTCACGCTTGTCAGGCAGGTGCTGTGCCACTGAAATAAATCCCCAACCTGAGAATTGTTTTTTTTAATTCAACCCTCACTGTGGCTGACAGGGATGCCATCTTTCCCTCTCTAGGGTGACCTACCACCATTCTCATGAGACGACCTTTTAGAGCAGGAATGAGAAACTGTTGTTTTTTCATAAGCCATTGGCCTTCCCCAGCCATGCTAGGCAGTCTCATGGGAACAGAGGAAGCCCAGATTAAACATCAAGTTTTCGGTTTCTCCTCCAACTCTGTTTCCTGCAAAAGCCGGAAACTCCTCAGCTGTGAATCTGTCTTGGGGCAACATTCTAGAATTCTGCGGTCTGCCCATCACTGCTCTAATGGGCAGAGCTCTGGATAATCAAAAATAATTGGGCATGATTCTTGCTCTTGAGGACATTACAGTGGAGCTAAAAGGATGATATATTCACAAGTAACTGTGGCATAAGGCAGAATGAGATATCACAGTATATGCCTGTGTCCAGAAAGGGTGCCACAGGTTTCAGAGGTGGAGGAAAGGTGACTTCAACAGGAACAGGTCTGAACCCACACTACATAATTGGAACTGGCCAGTGAAACGTTTCCAAGTGAAGACGAGAGCTCAGAATCTCTGAAAGGTGTGGCATCAGGTATCTGTTCCTGCCTGAAAGCACCCCAAAAGATTCTGTTGTGCCACCAAGACAAAGAACCCTTACACTAGGCTTATCAGAGTGCTTTATGGTGAACCAGGAAGCATAAAGATAATAGATAGGTTTTAATAGGTAGAGCAAGATATTGGGTGATTTTTAAGCAGATAAGAGTGCTGGAGACCCACAACCTGTGGAAAAAAGAAAGACCTCTTGTTTCATCCTTGCTGGTAGTGCCCTTTTATCCTGGATGGCTCAAGACATCAGGGAGATAACATTGTAATAAGCCATGCTTGTTACAGAACATCCATAGTTACTTCTCTCTAGGGATTCTTGATGCCTCATTATTTCGTTTCCTACACCTAAGAAGGCAGAAAGGCTTGCTGGTCAGGGAACAGGACCAAGGTCACAGCAAGGGTAAGGGAAGCAGGCAGCAATGCAGACATTGTGGCAGTGTTTTCCAAGAGTCCTCTTTGGTCCAAAGTAGACGTTGCTGACCTCCACTAGAATCTTATGGTCCTAGAGATGCTACCATTTCCAGCCCTGGATGGAGCGCAGGTGGTAGTAAGTATGCCTCCAGAGATCTGGGTCGCTACTTGGACTGAAGAACAGACCATCCAGCCTCAGACCTGGCCCTCCTGGAGCTCAAGGACAATGACTTCGACTTGTAGATTTCTGCCTGCTTCATCTTCACAGGGGCCCCTTGTAAACAAGTTGTGCTCAATGTGTTTTCTTGTGCTCTCCTGTATAAAAGAGTTGTGTACTCCCATATTACTTTTTAATGATAAATTATAGCCATATGTTACTGTCCTGACACTACAGATGTAGAAATATACACAAATATGAGCCTTTTAAAAAAATGAAAGGTGAAGTAAAAATAATTATTTTTTTTCAACACATTGCTGATACAAATACTGTCATAAGCATGCTTTTAAAAATGAAAGTCATGGGGGCTGGGGATTTAGCTCAGCGGCATAAGCGCCTGCTTGCAAGCAGGCAGTCGTGAGTTCGATCCCTGGTACCGATAAAAACGAAAAAGACAAAAAAAAAAATTAAAAATGAAAGTCATGTTAGCAGATCTACCCTCTTTATAAACTCTTGGTGAAACCTAAGTTCCAGCATTTGAAAGCCTGATTCTAAGTTCTGTTTTTTAAAGATAACAGTAAGTCCCTAACAAACAAGTTCTAGTCAGGGAGGACGTTCGTTAAGTCTGATTTATTGGTAAATCCAACAAAATGAGTCTTATTTACCTTTGACACAGATATACAATATAAAGCATAAAAAATCAAGCCCACACACAAAAATATTGTACACTATCATACTGTAAACACACAGCAGCATAACTGTGACAATGTCTGGCAGATGTGAGCTACATTCACAATTGCTTCACACCTACAAGTGTTAATAATGTGAATTCTGTTCATATTTGTGAAAGTTTGCAACTCAAATGTTTATGAGGGAATTACTGTATTTATTTAAATTTTGTGGTACTGGAGTTTGAACTCCAACCCTTCTATGTCCTGGACAGGTGCTCTACCACTGAGCTACAGCCCCATTTTTTTTTTTTTTTTTTTGGTACTAAGAATCAAACTCAGGGCCTCATGCTTGGTAGGCAGGCACTGTGCCACTGAGCTATATCCCTAGCCCCATAATTTTATTTTTTGTTTGTTTTGAGTGCCAGGAATTGAACTCAGAACCTTGTGCTTACCAGAAAGGCTCTATGCTGCTGAGCTGCATCCTCAACCCTAAAATTTTATTTTATTAAAGGGACTCACTAAATTGTCCAGGTTAGCTTTACACTTGGTGATCCTCCTGCCTCAGCCTCCCATATAGCTGGGATTATAGGCATGCACCACCATACCTACATAAAAGTTCTGTTTATTTCAGTTCACAATTCTTGTGCATTTACAGGTAAACACGATAGGCTTCACGCATAGACTATGATTTGGGGTCAGAGAATATATTTGTTTTTGAGTCTCATTCATCAATCATAAAAGACCTTGAAGAAATGGGGCAGATATGTGTTTTGAGGCTGTCACGGAAAGTGGAGAGTCTAGTTTCCAAGGATTTTTTGTATGCTTAGGTGGATGGTACTCTTGTAGAATCACTGGTATCTTAGTTGCTTTCTTCATTGCTAGGAAAAATATCCAAAGGAAAAGAGGTTAATTTTGACTCACATTTTTTAGAGGTTTCAGTCTGTGGTTATCAGGCTCCAATGCAGAAAGGCATGGCAGAAGGCCCTGCGTGGAGGAAAAGCTACTGACATCATGGCAGGCAGGAGACAAAGAAAGGAGCCAAGGAGGGAGATAAAAAAAAAAACATCTTGTGTTATGTTAGGCAGTATATTAGTCATGTTCCTATTATTGTAACAAATATCTGAGGTAAATGAACTTAGAAAGAGTAAAAGTTTACTTTGGCTCCAGTTGTAGAGGTTTCAGCCCATGATCAATTGCCCCATTGCCTTTGGGACTATACATCATGTTAGGGAATGCTCACCACAGCTACTCACCTCATGGTCAGGAAGCAAGAGAGAAAGAGAAGCTGGTTGGAGTCCCACTCTCCCCTTCAAGCACTTACTCCCAGTGACCTAAACACCTCCCATTATGCTCCACCTCCTAAAGCTTCCCTTACAGCCAAATTGGGGACGTGGCTAGATCTTTGGGAGATACTTGGATTCCATGCCATAACATATGTGCATAAATGTTTTGTTCCTAGCCAGATTATTTCAAAAAGCCATAAAACTCACTATTGTCACAACATTGTGGCTGTTTATTCAGAAGAAAAAGCTGACACATTCCTGCAGTCATTAAAAAAAGAAGTCTTGAAAGGCAAAAAAAAAAAAAAAAAAAAGTCTTCAGCTGGACATTATGGTGTAAGTCTTCAATCCCAGCCACTTGAGAAGCTGAGCAAGTTAAAGGCCAGTCTGAGCAACTGAGTGAGACCTAGTCTCAAAATGTAAAAATTGCTAGAGAAGGGCCGGG